GCGAACAAGATTTCACCGTTCGACACTTGGAAGTGGGGGTCGACCCACTTGATTGCAGCGCCGGCTTGGAGGCGTAATGGCCTCCTTTGCACGCTCGGCTTCACGCTCTGCCGTTGTGCGGACTCACACGCCCGAGAATTGAATTTGATTTCCGCTCTCGTCCGTCGACTTAGCCGTGTCCGCGCATCGCCGAAGGCGTGGTGGCGAAGAAATTTGTCTTTGGCCGGTTTCCGATTTACTCTCTCTGCATCGCCGAAGACGTATCCTTGAAGATGTCCGTCAACGAAGGCGCTTCCGCCGAAGGCATTGACAGAAGTCAATGCGTCTTGTCGTTTCCGTTGTTCTTTCTTGTCCTGCCGAAGGCTCTCTTGCCGCAGGTGTTCCGTTCCGCCGAAGGCGCACGTGTTCACCAAAGGCGTACGGCCAAATTCGCACCACTGAAGGCGTTGACCTAATATCAATGCGCTGGCGCCGAAGGCGCTCAGGCAAAGGAGTACATCCCCGAAGGCGTATCGCCGAAGGCGTCCGTCGCCAAAGGCCCTTTCTATCAGTAACTTATGACACTCATAACTCAATGATCTCTTATCCGTTCCAAGAGTTATTGGGCTCGTTAGAACGAGCGCGTTGAGCTCTTTGCAACAAAATCCTAAAAAAAAAATCAAGGCGTTACAAATTGAGACGGTTATGAGGGATTCACTCTAGCGCCAAAGGCGTCTGTCTTGAAGGCGCTTTCTCCAACTTGCGCCGAAGGCGCTTCCCCTCAGTAGGAACCGTCCGTTCGGCCGGGGCGCCTGTCTCGGACATTGCGCCCAACTCAATGATTCTCCAGGATTCTCCTGGACCCGCGATCATCCATTTTCACTCTATTTTAGTGTACGGATTACTTTTTACAGTTTTTGCTGCGGTACTGTTTTCCAAAAATGTTTAAATTCTGCACAAAAACAAAAAGTGGGTTACCACAAACCTACTCAATGAATTCTTGGGATTTTGTCCAGATTTACCTTCCAGACCTACTCATAGGCTTTTCGAGGGAGGAATTCTGGCCTTAGCTTAGAATTCAGACGACGATCACTCGTGCTATAAAGACCACAAGGAACACCTTGTAACGCGTTTACTTCCCTCCAGGCTACTTGGGCCACGAATAAACTCAGGTTCTTTTGCCTGCACCCGCCTCCGATAGCTGAAGTGATATTGTACTATAGGTTCCAATAGAATCTTCTCCAAAATGAGCAACAAGAGTATACACCAAGTGGAAAAAAATGCAACATTCACCCACAATGGATCTTGCTGCTAGACTCGTCGTGCCTTGCATCAAGTCACAAAAATAACAATTTACTTTTCTGATGGGAAAGCACACAAAATTCACGGAAAAACAAGATACTAAGCTACTAAGCCGCTTGGCTTTAGATACTAATTCCTACATAATCTTATCCCTTGCTGAAAAATCCCAGAGATCCCGGACCTGAACCCGTGGCGATCCCAAATCCTAATCCCCAAAGCTTCAAACCCTATTGTCGACTTCCGGCGGAATATCTTGGTTTTGGTGGGGGGCAAAAATATCCACTAAGGAAGCTTCTTGGGAGTCTTACTCTCCTCCAAGCAGTCCGTTTTTGGTGGTACTCGTCTCCAAAGTTTTGATCGCCTTCTCCAAGTTGTATATTGTACTTTAGCCACTTTTTGAGTTTAGAGAACTTGGAAGGACACCTAAATCCTAAACTGTATTTCACAAACCTAATTCTAGCATGAATCTACCTAGCATAGTACTTATTTATTATTTTTGTCTGATTTGTTGGTACAAAACCAGATTGTGTGGGAACTGGTTCCCACATTCGTGACCTTGCCAAGGTTCATAGAACAATGTGTGTGATCTCAAATCCAACAAATGTTGCAAAGTTATTCTTCAGGTTTGATTAAAGCCCTCATATTCAGTAGTTGATATTCGATTAGATTCGATGAAGGCTCAATGTGCAGCAAGAATTCATGAAATGTTAGAATGTAACTTCACAAAGCTTTAAATCCTTAATCCCAACTTCCGCAGCGAACAAACATCTGTTTCAAAGACTATCAATGATAATCCCGCAATTGTAAACACTGGATTTGAGATGATGGGTGAAATTTACAAACTGAAATTTTATTGATCACGACAAGATGTCTGAAATCCACCGCTTTGCAATAGAAAAAAAACCACAACAGCCAAATCCAAAAAATCTAAAAAACCACAACATGCCAGAGGGCATGAAAATTGACGCAAATCTCCCAAGACTTTCACTCTTCTCTAGTATCCAGCCTCGAAATTTTCGCAGTTTACACATTTGAAACCTCGTCCGAACATCAAAACAATCAAATCAAGCAAGTTTGACCGAGTTTCATCCATAAATTTGAATTAGAGCAAACTGAAATCGGTGAGTTCTTCAAGTGAAAATGATTGGTCAACCCCACTAGTTTAAAACACAAATTTCTCACAAAGTTCAGCTTAGTCTTCTCTATTACTCGGAGAATCCAGGTTGATGCTAGTGGGAAACCATAGCCAAACTACTGAAAGCTATTCCCTTTGCGAAAGACTGAACTCGAAGAATGGATAGTTTTCCGAGTACTCACGATTGTACTCTTTTGACGGAGTTTCACTTTAAGTGTGAAACTTAGAGTGAAAATAATCTAGGCTCTACCTAGGGTTAACTCAAATAGAGTCAACCTTAATCCGATGCTAATTATAGACAACAAGTAGACACATAAAATCTAACGTAGAGATATAAAATTGATGTAGATCCCTATTAAATTGCATCAAAGCTCACTGAAAGTGAAGTGCTAAGTCTGGTTGTATAAAGTCCATAGCTTACTAACACATGGAGCAAAGAAACTAACAAGTGAGTTGAATTTGCTCTAGCTAAGACGTGTTGGACCTCTATATAGTACACTGATGCCCTGAATCTAGACAAAATGCAATAATGCCTTACAAAAAATAAAATGAGGTCTACGAAAATGTGCATAGGTCCAATTACTCAGTGATAGCTGACTGATGATGTGACCAAAAAATCGTTGTAAGGAGGTCTAAATAAGACAAGAGGTTCTGTGTGTTCAACAAACAAATTTGATCATAGGTTCAAATGAACATAATGTGATACAAATTTTCTGTATGTACGGAAAAAATATTCACAAACGTTTGTATCAACATATTTGTGATGTACATGATATAAATCGAATTTTACTGAAAGTTTAACACAAATACTAAGATCTAATAGACAAAGTATCATGAGGCGATAAATATGTTCTAATCAGGCCTTAAGAGTTCTGAACAGAAAATCTGAATCCTTAGAAATCCTTTTTGAGCCGTTTTCCTTAAAGTGGAATTTTGAAGGTGGCAGTCAGCTCGTGACCTCGAAACGGTTGCCTCTAACGAATCAGGTATCTCGATGTTTTCATCACCTAAAACCCTAGGGCCACAAGGAGTAGCAGAGATTTGTATTTGGATGCGCGCAAATCCGAAGGCAGATCGATTCAGCTTCATTCCCATATAATATATAATGTTCTTCGGTGTGCGATTTCACATCATGTTTGAGTCATGGAATTCCTCCGTAGAGCTACTCAAAGCTTCTTCTGAATAGACTGAATAGCTTTTGTATCGTTATATGCAGTCGTCCAGCATACAAATGCTTGTTTGCTTGGATTCGCGGTATGTTGAAAGGACATCATGTTGGAAGATGACAACGAAAGTCTAAGGACGTTATCTTCAAGCATAATGACGAGCGAGAATGTTGAAGACAATGGAAAGTGGGAAGCCGAACGAGTCCTCATGAAATGTCGAGTTGAGAAATTTATAACAACTATGGCGCGAAGTCAAGGTTAGCTTGCCTCGTTTCTTATGAAAGCATGTAATTTGATTTCTGTACACTAATGAATCAATGAAGAAATGACTAGAGCATACCCAAGGACTCTCTGCTAATCTCGAGCAAGACATTGCTACCCATCAATCAACGACGGTGTTGAAAAACAGCCTTATAGACCGCATAGAGTACGGCTGGTATACTTTCAAGATAAGAATATTTCTAAGTTTAGATCTTTTATTATTTGCCTAGAGGACAAAATGAAGCATCAAGCTCACAACTATAGAACTCAGTATATCCTTGATCTTTTCTGCAGGTGAACGTCAATTTTCTGTCTGGAAGGGCTCGGTTGTTGACTCCGTAGTTGGAGCATTTTTGACCCAAAATGTAAATGATCATATGTCGAGGTACATTACTGAACTTGCCCAGACGTACACGTGCTCAAGTGTTGTGGTGTTATTCAACACCACAACACTTGAGGAACAGTCGATCTTATTGCATACTAATTTTGGTTCCTCTATCTGACTGGGATTGTTATAAATGGCGCCTCTACTAGCTTTCAATAAGGTGAACCATCTGAAGGATATATAATGTTGTATGTGATGGAGGAATGCAGTTTTCTGCACTAGAAAAATCTTTCTTCACTGCTTTTCCCTTTACGATTTAAGCGTGACAGAACAGAATCTAATCACGGCAAAGCCAGTATTTTCCTTCCCTACTAGGAAAATTGAGACTTTACTGACTGTTGACCGCTACTCCTTGCACTGAGCACACCGTTGAAAATAATGTAATTAGAAAAGGCATTCTTTAAAGCAAAGAGACTTTGGCAGGCAGATCGTATAACCTTGGATACAGGTCATACAAGCGAATGAAAATTTTAAGTCTGGAGGTCGGTGCATATTTCTAGTCTATAGTGTTGTTCGTTGCATTCGTCTTAATGAACCTAGGTAGGCAAGAAAGGTCTCCGCAGCTGGTAACCGAACTCCTGCTGCCTTGGGCACAGATAAAAAGTTGAACTATACTGTCAACGTGTATTTAAACTGGGATTGCGACCGAAGCTTCAGCCGTCTAAATAGTTTCTGCCCGTTTTCTTTAGGTTCTTTTCTCCTGATGGGAGTTCCATCTTCGTTGTTATTCATCATAATAACATTTTCACGGGTATCTATCGCAAATCTGCAGCTCCGCATATATGAGCCTTGCATCCCGCTTTCCTTCTCCGATACACGGTCCAATCGCTGATTCAGTCGGAGAAAATTCCGTAAGATCTTCACTAGGAGGAGATTCAAGGATCCACAGTCATACAGAGGCAGGACAATCGCTGGGAAAATTATTCAAAAAGGTGCAAACTTCGAATAATGCCCCTTCAAGTGCTTCAAACATCTGTAAGAACGAATGGCTACCTGCAATGCAAACATTGACCAAGTCAGGACGATTTTGCACGGAGCCTGCTAACTCATTTCCTGGTTTTATTATGGAAAACTGCAACTGTTTGCTTCCAGCACCGAATAATCTTGATGCCACAAGCGTCATACAGTACAAAAATGTAGTTCGAAAACCTACGACAACTCATCCGAAGTTTTGGACAACACTACGTGCATGCATGGCTGGGTGGAGCCAAAATGTTCTCTTTGAAACATCACAGAATGTGGACTTCTGTTCAAGTGCTGACGACCAGGATAATATTTCTACTGAATCGCTCTATGTTGAGTCGGGACTGCACGCAGCAAAATCATTCGACTGCTTTCCAAAAGGGAAACCTGAGTCAATGTTAGATTCTGACGATCAAATGAAAATATCGTCAGACACTTCGTTTAAGGGGCAGGCAGACTTTTGCTGTTATTATGAAGTATCAGCTGAGAGGAAGAAGCGGAAAGGCAGTGCGGCGTATTCACCTGCATCTGATTCAGATTTTCAAAGTTTGGAGGAAGAATCAATTACCTTCACTGAAGAGGCAAGTTGCAAGAAACCAAAAATCACCTGTACAGACCATGTCTTGCACAATGCTGTGCATGGGTCGACAGTCCTGTGCTGTGAACGAAGGCAGCTTCTGGGAGACGTCATCAATCTTTCTCATGAAGATTGTGATGGAAAGATATGGAAAGATAAACTGGACTCTGCCGTTCTAGGGGGTAGTAGCTCCCAAGCACCAGATTCACCAGCTGATTCAGCATGGACCACAATATTAGGTTTGCCATCGTTGAAAACATCAAGCACTTCAAGAATCTTGAGATCTGGAGATGGAGACAACGTCGCTGGAATACCAACTGCAGAGGAGGTTCAGGATACGAATACAGGTCGCACTGAAGTCTTAAAAACAATCGCAGATGACATGTCATCCACAAGGAAATCGTTTCCATTGATAGGGCCTGCACGCATATCTAAGGCCAGACTGGAGCAGACGTTTAGCTGTAGCAACAAAGATGTGGAGTGGGAACCATTGAGGTTAAGATACGCACAGCCTGAAGAAGGTGTTCAGAGCGAGGCCAGGTCTTCGTTCGTCGAGAATGGTGTTAACTGGGAGGCAGTAAGAGAGGCTAAACTTGAGGAGATGGCAAATATCATTAAGGAACGGGGAATAAATTACGTGCTCGCTGGGAGAATAAAGGTGAGCATATCCATCCTGCCATTCTAGTCGAAATATATATATGAGAAAATCAGAACTCAAACTCACATGTTTCCTGGAATTTTTATCTTTAGTGCTAGTGAGGATGAGTCAAGGGCACTTGACACTGCCTTAAAGGCACAAGGAGATTAAAGGTATACAACAATACACCAACGTGTATACTTGATCACGAATTTTGTCTATTATATTCATCCGAAGAAGAATCCCAGTATGAAAATGGGAGATCAGAAATGTACTGAGGTATATGATTGCAAAATAATCATATAAAGACCACAAACATAATGGCTCTAAGATTCTTTGATAAGAAGAAGTTTAATACTTGGCTTGAAAAGAATCTACTAATGCTTTCAACATAAAATCTCGCTAACTTCTTCAAGCTGCTTTATGGATTATTCATGAAATTTGCTCAGATGTACGCATCTCATTAGCAATCATTTATAATGCGGTGATAGGAAATGAGATCGTTAAAACAATAAAAATGACGTAGCAACTCAATTATTCACAATAGTTGACTAAATTAGTCTGTGATGTGATGTTTTGCAGGCATTTCTCGACAGGGTAAAGAATGAGCACGGAAGCTTGAATCTTCAGTGGCTAAAAGCAGTTCCTGCTGAAAAATCGAAGTTACGTTGGAATTTACATGATAACACCCAGAGATTGATGTAGATACGAGAGCTCCTAACTGACTGAGCGCTAAAGGCCCGAGGCATTTCCTGTTGAAAAAATGATGTGTTGTTGGATTTATGATGATAATCACCAGAGATCAAAGTATATAAAGATATTCTAGGCTTCTTTGCTGATGGTGTGGGTTCAAAGCAGTTCCGCCCGAGAAGCAGAATATTAGTTGGGTTCATGTATGACTCATCTAGAGCTTTTTATCTAATTCTCGTTTCTAAACTCTAAAACCGACATTGCTTCTCAGTCAAACTTGAATTTTCTGAATATTATGTCATACCATCTAATTGCCCTTTGCGTATGATAAGTGCTTGCAGATCCTTCCTCCTTAGTGTAAGAGGACTTGGGCTGAAAAGCGTTGAATGCATTCGACTGCTGGCTCTTCATCAACCAGCCTTTCCGGTAAGTCAAAATTTGAGACGTTTCGTCTGGTACTTTAGATCTAAATATTTGAACTACTTATATATATTCGTTCAGTTTTAATTCTTGACTAATTGGCAGTGGTTGAATGCGCTTTGTATATTGGGTTATAATTTCCAAAATGTCTGAATAGGATGTGAGAGTACACTTTTCGAAAATGCTGTGCGAGTTTGGTGTTAACTGATGACTATCAGGTGCTGTTTAGGTGGACACGAACGTTGGTCGCATATGCGTTAGACTAGGTTGGGTTCCTTTGGAAACTTTACCGACTGGACTTTATTTGCACACGCTAAGAAAGTGAGCTCTTACACTTGATCTCATAGATTCTGATTTGTTCAACATATTTACATTTACATCCAGTAAGTGGTAAACAGACTTCATTGCTCATATTGAGTTAACTATGATGGGTTTTTTGTTACTACTAATGTATCGATACCCTTGTTTCACCTCCTTATGCATTATAGGTACCCTAGAGAAGACACAGTTCAGAGATATTTATGGCCACGACTCTGTACTCTTCCCGTGCGGACTTTGTAAGTTTTCAAATACACTGTAGGATGTCGTATCCAGTTAATCATCTGAAAAGATCTCGGCGTAGTGCTTGTAGATATTAGTTGTTTCTGTCTAATGTCTGGTCTTAACACATCTTATTTTGCAGGTATCATTTGCACTGCCAAATGATCACATTCGGGAAGGTATCAAGAAAACAATCAGTCAGTATGACGAGATCAAAACTGCTGGCTTTTCCTTAGTGATTTGAGTATTTCAACTTTCTAGTTGGTATTTTAACCTTTTACCTTGTATCTTTCCAATCTACTTCTTAATAAGGTCTTTTGCACAAAGACAGCACCAAATTGTGAGGCTTGTCCTCTTCGAGGAGATTGTGAGCATTATGCGAGTGCTGCCGGCAGGTACGTGGTCGTTGACGAAGTATTGGATATCCTGAGGTTATTGTCTTGAGATACATCTCAAGACAATACCCTCAGAATTTTTTCGAATCTCAAGTTGAAAAATTAAATTTTAATTCTTGGTCTAATTTGACGAATTGTAGTTGACGCCTTGATATACTGAGGTAATGTACATGGAAGAATACATGAATGACGTGGAAGAATCTGAAGGAAACTAGAAGTTGAGAGTATGTCATATGGAAACAGGCAGGGCCGAATGGAAATACATACATCGAAGTAATTAATGATCACAACTAAATGATAGTAGTTCGAAGGTGGCCGATCTCAAAATGACTGTTCCCAATCCAATGCTCAGCCTAACATGTCATCTTCCACTCGATTGTTTATAATTTTCTATTGTTTTTAAGGTTCTGTAGATATAACAAAGATACAAATTTAGATTCGGACCAAAATGTGGACCAGGTCTGCGAATGGAGATTCTGTCAAGAGTCTTAGATTGTTATCATCAATCGATACAAAATATGGACGTTCGATGAGCACTCCTTTGATGAAGGAAGAAGTGGCGATTGTGCATGAGACATATCTTAACGCACGTCAATCATTGGATGAAGAACCTCCTTCGCCACAATATTCAGAACTTGTTGACAAGGGGAGATATACACATGATATGGAAGTGAGACTTGCGTTTGAAGAGAATGTCGCCAGTACTAGAGCAGAGTCAAAAACGCGGAAAGAGAGTGAATGCAAAAGCATTCTTTTCAGAGACTTTCTGCTACAAGGTTCAGGAACTGGTGTTGTCTTCTCTCACGCAATAGAATTGCTGTCTTCAAACTCAGCATCAGCGAAAGTTCCAAATTTGAAATACAGTGGTCGCCTTCATAGTGTACATCATGTGTATGTTCCTCCTCCTTATCTTCTACGCTAAGAGTCTTACTCATGAAATATAAGTTAGGTTTGAAGACTTCAATTAGAACTCTCACATGAATTGGGGCTGCGTACAGCTATGAGCTTCCTGATCAACATCCTCTTCTCGATGGGGTGAGTAAATTTCCAGCCGTACTCTACCTGTAAATGTCAAAGATGAGTGACTATCTCATTCTGATTACTACAATTTTACTGTTTAAAGTTTGTCGTTCATTTCGCTTTCATGCTGACGATTTTTTCCATTTTCATCATCGCAACTCATTAAGTTAGAAACATTTCGTAGCATCTATAGTAAGAACTCTCTTGATATAAGCAAATTTGGCCAGCACCTCTTAGTAGAAGTACTGGTCAAATTACGAAGAAGTATCTTACCTTTCAGTAATTCAGAGCCCATGTAATGTTGGTTCTAGATTAGATTTTGTAGTCTGGATTTGAATCTGCACATATCGCTCCCTCCTGGTTCATTCAGTGAGAATTTCAAGCGTAGAATTAAAAAACTTAACCAAATGTCATAATAATATATGATTCAGATGGATATCCGGGAAGTTGATGATCCATGCATGTACCTGCTAGCAATATGGAGTGCAGGTAACTCGCTTTGTGTAATTTCTTCTCAATCTTTGGGTATGTTCTTTTCTTCGTTAATTTGATGATTTGAAACAAGTACACTGACCCACCGCAAATCATGTGAATTATTTGTAACTGCAAAATTTTCCCCGTTATACTTTGACTAGAAATGAATTTCCTTGACCCTTCGTTGGTACTGTAGGCCCTGAGATGTCAGCACGATATTCATGGGTCTTCTGAAACCTTCTTAGTTTAGTCCATGTTACCTCTACGGTATTTATGAATTTTTTATATCAAGCCTAATATGGATTGACTCATTATTCTTGGATACTGATTTCCTCTGTGAGTTACGTATGATCGATTCCAATTCTTGCTTACCTTCCTAAGTAAGAAGATCGCATGAGTTACTCTGTGACTGGTCTCCACGTCAACATAAGTTAGATGTAAATTGTGCATAGCCTAGATTCCTAGCCTTCTTCCACAGATGCTTCTTATTTTTTTTGGCTTCATGTCAAGAAATGGGACAAAAATTGAGCTACTTAATCTGGCCAATCTGTTCTACATCTACGTATAGCTGCCTACCTTGAAATACATTTTTGACGTAAAATATGAACACAACCTGCTGCTGCATGCGGCTTTCGAGATATGTTTGATTACTTGCGGGGAATGACCTTCATTTTTCAAATTGTATCTAAGGCGCAGGTGAGAACCCTACAGCTCCTACTTCAGTGGACCAAACTGGAGCTGAAGTAGAAATTTCGAAGTCTGTATATGAGCAGGACAAAGTGAGAGGCACTTTCTTGGTGAGTAGATAATTGATTAGCTAGACTTATGGCCAGTTTGAAGAAACCAGTATACGCGTTCCATCATCTTTAATCGTTAATCCAATATTATTGACTTCTGCGGTTTGTGCGGTCCTCACCTACAGGTGCCTTGCCGGACAGCAGTGCGAGGAAGATTTCCATTAAATGGGACATATTTCCAAATAAACGAGGTACTCCTTTAAGATTAGATAAATTTGTTGCATTCTGTCACCTGTCGGAATTTTCTTGAACCCTCCACTTTGATCTTACACTGGAATTATAAAATTGCGACTGTTCGATAGCACTTAACTCGATTTCATATGCAGTCGTTGCATTCCTAACATCTGTGTGTTTCAAAAAGTCCAAGCAGATTTTTCGGAGAAATATTAGTCCTTCGTTGAAACGTAATTGTGTACTAAATTTTATATCGTCATTCCCCTAACTTTATAAGACTTGCTATATAGTTCAAGAAACAATCTCTTACAACTTTCTGGAATTTTGTACAAATCCGATCAATTTCACTTTCAGGTGGTCGGTCTAAAATACTAAAAGCAAGCAGTAGTTCTGGAGGAACTAGTAAGTATATTAACGAATATGAGGAGTTATGTTAGCTTCAATCAAAGTAGCTTCCTTAACAGCAAATATTAATATTCATGAACAGGTTTTCGCTGACCATGCATCTAGCCTGCATCCGGTAGAAGTTCCAAGGAATATGTTATGGAATCTAAACCGACGCTTTGTGTATTTCGGTTCATCAATGAGAGCTATTTTTCGAGGTGTGTTACTTCTTCCTCGTAGGCTTTGCTCATGATCTTTGCAATGCTTAGCTTGCTTGTAGACATGCATTGCTCTTCCAACCATAATTTAAAAAAATCAAACTACATTAAACTATATACGTTTTCTGTCTACAGGACTCTCGTTGGATGAGATCCAGGCTTGCTTCTGTCAAGGTTTGTCTTCAGCTTAGATAATTTAGATGCTTTCTTCCGGTATGCAATTTGTCTTCCTCTTCAACTTATACAAATTTTATTATTTATGATCAACAGGGTATGTCTGTGTGAGGGCCTTTGATAGCCACACCCGCGCACCTAAACCACTAGCAACAGGGTTCCACTCATCGGCGAGAACTAAAGGATGAGCATATGGTTGTTGGCCAGTTCCACCTTTAATTCCACGCCTGACTCTGATTACGTGGACAGTGCTCCATAATCAAGAGTTGATGAAGCATGCTCAGTACCAAGAAGGCTTTAGCTAGTACCGAGAATCATCACAGCTTTAGATATAACATCTGAATAAAAGTCCGCATATTGTATTGGGCTTACAAGTTGTTCTTGGGATTACAACTTGTAAACACCATCTGCGTATGTTCAAGTACAATGGACTGCATCATGTGGTTGTAGACATGTAACAAGTATTGTTGACTCCCATAGTAGAGAATATATCCATAAATAAAGGACTTAATAGTCTATATCTATTTCATTCTAAAACGACAACAATCTACAACAACATTTATTATCATATCCTGATCCAAATTTCAGTGACAAATATCAACAACAGCCTGAGTGTCGTCATCGTTTTAAGATGTGGACTTTAAATCTTTCAAAAACACACTCACAGCTCCTAGCTCGCTCTTCCGCGTTTTCAAAAGTATCATCTCCTCTGAGTACGTCTGTCGAGATCTTAAACAGTCCCAGCGTGAGTGAGAGACACGAGATATCACCCGACACAGCAGACCGACCATGTGCGTAGACACACAGATTTTCACAGCAGAGAAGCCGCGGCGCCATCCCCTTTAACTTCCAGCTACCAGCTGGTTCTTTCGCATTTTCAACGACTCAAGTAGCGTTTCCTTTCAGGGTGCTCAACAAGATCTTAAAGAGCCCCAGCGTTAGTGGGAGACATGAGATATCTCGCTACACAGCAGGCAGACCACTTGCACAGACATGAAGACTTTTACTATGACTGGAGGAGGAATGGGACGACTCCAGCAGGAGCATTCGGCACACTACACCTTAAAATACTCCCGACCACAACAAGTACGGGCTCTGCCTCTCCACGGCGACATGGCCACAACCAGCGCGACTTGCAGAACACCCGGACGATCTCCCTCCCTTCCCCCACCTTAACACTTTTAGTCAGTTACTTTGTTTGGAACGTGGGTACGTGAGCACTTCTCTGTGGCTGTTCTGTGGTACTTTTGCAGGTAACGCGTGGCTCGGCTTGTTGGACCTCCAGCACGCTAGCTTGGGAGAATGCGACTTGCCCGTCTAAGGACCATCTTCGTAGCCTCTCGAGGTAGGCTCTCGCACGACTATTGGTGCCAAAAGACTTTTCTCTTCATTTCTCGATTGCCTGTCTAGTGCCTGGTTCCAATGGCTGTTGATGTTGCGCATTTGTGCCGGAAAATGAATAGATCTTGCAGGTTTTTTCACCAAGATTGTCTCGCCCAGGCGCCAACCGCTCCAACTATCACTCACGGGGCCGATTGCCAACACCATTGTGTACATTGGTACCATGGTGTTGTACCATTGTACAACACCATTGTCAACACTTTTGGTTCTCTTTTTGTTTGGAGTTGGATTGTTTGTATTGTGTTTTTTTAGCCTTTTGACCCTTTGGGTCCCAGGGGCTTGATCTATTTATCATTTACCATGTCAAATGGTTATTGACAAAATTTCATTGAGAATGTCTCCAAGACGCAAAACTTCTCGTCGCCAGTGTTTTACTAACCATAAATAGTCCAGCTATGACAGATAGAGAGCCTCAGATGGATTGGTGGAGTAGGGTTTGTTGGAATATCTCGGCCGTGTCAGTCTTGTGTCCTACTTAAGTGCTATTTGTAGGGATGGAACGAAGCTCAGAGCTGGGCAGCCAGTAGTCGCACCAACTCCAAACCTAGCCTCACCATCTTAACACTGATATTTACACGACGGATTACTCTCCGCACCATTTCCTGCAACTCTCCGCTTTCAGCTGGTTCTTCAGCGGCTTCAACGTGTTCGGTAGTGTCTCCTTTCAACGCGACTAAATAGGCCTCGGCAAGGCAAAGTAACATAGCTTTTATTGACGGTTAATAGTTCATAGTCACGGGTAAATGTGTAAAGGTAACCAATGGGTAACATATTGGGTAGAGTAAAGGAAATGCCAATTTACCTACCTCCTTCTTGACCTTTCTGTTTCCTGTTTACACAACCTTCACAAAATCTTACTAGCACTATTTTGTATGTTTCTTTTCTATTTATGTGTTCCAATCTCTTATATTCCTGCACTTCAAACAAATCTTACTACATAGTCCTAACTTCAAATGTGAGCACATAATTGAGCTCACACATGATGAGATCAATTCCCTACACAACCACATTGCTCAACTCGAGCTGAGCATGGAAATGAAAGCAGCTGTCATGCAAAAGCTAAAGGATGATTCCGACGTAGTTGTGGCTTGCATCCAGGAGGTTACGCAGGAGGGATGGGGTGATAAGTTGTTAGCCTATCTAAAAGCAACTCTGCTAGTTCCGAATCAACCGGTCTTCTTGAGGAAATGACCAATCTGCTAATAGCAAAATACAAGGAGGTCATTCAAGAAGTGGAAGCAAAAACATTCTCGGAACAGGAATCTCTTCTCAAATGCAACAAATGCTCGAGTCAAAAGATTTAGAGTTGAGCAAATTCAGTAAAAGAATGAAAGAGGCTTCTTCACATATGGCTCAGCAAGAAGAAGTTGTCCAAGGCTTAATGCAGCAGGTAAACAAGCTGAGAGGGGAGCTTGTGAAAGCAAATGGGAAAAGAGATGCTTTGAGCTTGTACTTGCTGAGCAAAGAACAGCCAATACCAGGGAGAAGCTCAGTCTTGCTGTGATGAAAGGCAAGGACGCTGTGCAACAGACTCCTTGAAACAATCATTTTTCGAGCAGGAGGTACTACTAGCAAAGTGTGAGGAGAACTGGTCAGAAAAGAGTCTATAGTGTAGAGGATCAAGGACGAATTGATGACGTCTAACCCAAAGATTGAAGACCTAGAAGAAAATGTAGAGTCTTTTGATGAGACATACGTCGGTCCTTGAGCGTGACACGCTTGACACAAAGAATCTCCTTCAGGCTCTAGAGACGGATCTGGGCAAACACAGTTCCCAAAATGAATGGCGCTCAATGAAGTTGACGCAGAAAGTTGATTGGTTGGTCTCTGCTATTCCTGATGCTGAAATCAGGGAACTGGTGTCTTCTCAAGAAGCGGAGGCAGCGAGAAAAGAGCGAGTCAGCTACGCTCACATTTGAGAGACACTCAATATGAAGTAGAATGTGAGAAAGAATCACTTTCCATTCTGACCATGAAGCTAGAGAAGACTAAAAAAATGAGCTTCAACGGAGTCAGCATCGAACCGCAAAATTGGAAGCTCAATTACCTGCTCTTGCATCAGCTCATCATCAATCAGAGATTCTCATGGAGAAAGTTTGGAGTCTGGAATTCCTTCTGGAGAAGAATAACGAAAACGTTAAGAATCTAGAAACCATCCTGGAGCAAAAGCAGGCTGACATGAGGAAAGCAGAAGAGGCCGTCTATGCTTGGACCGGACGGTCTGAGGAGACCGAAGCTTATCTTCGCAGAAGTCAGATGCGCATTTCAGAGTTGGAGGCCTGATTGGAAAAATTGAGCGGGGTTCAATAGCAAACTAAAGATCTCTCCAAAAGATATCTAAAGATATCTTTTGAGATATCTTGAGATCTTTAGGTTTGATCTCATAGATGCTCATAGACATGAGCTCATAGATGCTCATAGACAAAGATCATGAGCTCATAAGATGCTCATAGACATGAGCTCATATGCTCATAGATGCTCATAGACATGAGCTCAAAGCATCTTTGTATTTTCTTTGAGCATCAGTTCTGACTTGGAAGACATAAGCCGCAGATAAGGATTCAATTTTACAATATTAAATACTTGGCGTTTTGTGAATGAGATTTTGCAGGTCCAGGTAAGGAAAATGTCAATACCGTCCAATTCTGCAGCTCCGCAGATTTGCGGTACAAGCTTGCCTGCTTCGTTTGTTGTAGCTATCGATATGGATGTGGAATCAAGCCGATTGCTGGAGGTTTCAGACGAAAAAGTTAAGAATACAATGTTACTTACAATAACTGATGACATTCACTATTAGCCGAAGACTGAATCAGCAGATCACATCTGAATTTGATCATGGACATTCATGGTTCTCTAAGTTGAAGTAATTTTGTGCATGTGAGACCTATAATGTTGCGAGGAAGAATGCGCATAGATGGTGACAACGAGGTCACTAGGTGAAGGCAAATTATCGTTTTTTCTTATTGACTTGTATTTATTTTGTTCACTTCAAGTCATGGCTTCAAGTTCTTGGCTATGGCAAGGTTCATGATACGTGGTACTTGTTTTGTTGCGGACCGAAATGACAGAATATGGTAAGCAGAATCGAGGATGAGGTTGATGTTTTTTGGTCTTGTACATTATATAGTATTGAATGAGTTATAACCTTCTTATAGACCTGCAATCTGTCGTGCTTGTAAGCTTTGCATATATCTTTGACAGGAACTTGTTTTAAGGTATCAACACCAATAACACTCTATCTGATGGTAATTACCTTGTCATTGTAGCCGGAGCCCTAAACCCTAAACCCTAAACCCTAAACCCTAAACCCATCAACAGAAGGGTGCTCCTGAGGAAAGAAACACTTGAAACATTGTTATAGTGGAACTTACATTTGATATATTTAATTCCGTCGTCGGAAGGGCAAATATATTCAAGAAATGTCATCACTTCTCTTACCTTCACTCCACTCCACTATAACACCTTGCTGTCCACCAGGTTTCTCTTGGATATGCTACCACCTCCCACCTAGATTTAACCAATTCAAACACCGAGTAGCACTCTCAATTTCATAGCCTACGTCTTACAGATACACCGTAAGTAAAGTCCAAGACCAAAAAAACTTAGTGGAAGTTAGTATCTAGAATACTACATCCCATCACATGAGAAAAGAACCACAAACTTAATTCTCATCTGCAATGAGGAAAAAAATAGGGCACTACCTCTCAACTCTAAGTGTACAATCTCCCGAGGCCACTTCACGTCTGAAATCTTAAACACTAATTATATAGCATGCTAAAAGGCTGAGGCACTTCGAAAAGCCAAGGCAAAAGCGCCCCTGGCTACTCTTTAAGGATTGAAGAGTATTTTCACCATAGACAAACGATCTAATTTCACCTGAAATAGTTATCTGATCTCCCTGAGATTCCAGGTCCACATGCAATGGCGACTTACCTCCTCACTTCAATCAGTACGTAGCGTGATCCTTGGTGATGTCCAACAGTCATACCCTCTCTGGTCCCTGAACTTCTGTAGAATCAAGCACCGTTTAGATTGCCTAAACTCCATAGCTGCATGCTCTGATCTCTCCTTGCTCTTAGAGCCTCAGTAAGACAAGCACTTCCTCATACAACGGTGTGCGCATCTCCAAAA